AAAAAAAAAAAAAAAAAAAAAAAAGAAGGAAAATGAGTTATTTCAGACACTGAGGGAAGTGAATGATTCAAGGATAAAGTAGTCAAACTGTCACATCCTGTGGAGAGGCCGAGCATGTGAAGACTGGGATAGGCCCCGTGGACTTGGCAACGTGGAGAACGGTAGTGACCTTGACACAGTTGCTTTTGGCGGATGGTACAGGTAAGCCCGACAGGAATAGGTTCAAAAGGATAAAGAAAGAAAGAAGTGGAGTGTTAGGGGGAGAGGAATGTGCGTTCCCATGGAGTGCTTTCTAAAATAGGCTATAATGCAGCATTTTGTGATAGGAATTGTTAAGCTGGGTGAAAAATGTTGATGATACAACTAAGAGAGGAAACAATTAGAATAGACTGGGGAGGTGGGAGCCGGGGATGCAAAAGAGGCACTGGCCTTAGCCACATGGGTGCCCGCTGATTTTTAGGAGGGACGGCGCGGTGGTGGGCATACTTTGAGCTGGCTGACAGGGAAATGAGGACATTGGGAGTCCTCTTCAGAGGCTTTTATGTTCTTACTGCACGAAGAAGCAAGGTCAGGGCCTCGCCCGCTGCAAATCCTTCACTACTTATTTCACATCCACAAGCTGGGCAAGGTGGCAGCATCTGTAATCCCACTAATTGTGAAACTGAGGCAGGAGGATAGCAAGTTTGATGCCAGTCTGGAACTTAGTAAGACTTCGTTTCACAAACAAAACAAAATGCCTCACAAACATTCACATCCAACTATTACCGGTAGCTTGTTTCTAAAAAGTGGCTCGCCAGCTAAACATTCCCGGGCTCGGGTTGTTTGCCTCTCTTTCTGGAGTTGGATTCCAGGTTCTTGGCTTGAACAAAGAATCAGATGAAAAATCAATGCAAAAAGCAGTGGTAAAGTTTATTCGAGAAAGTAAAAGTGAATAGCGGGAGAGAAACTGACCCCGCAGAGGGAGCTCGGGCTGAGTAAAGAGAAAAAGAGGGAGAGCAAAGATAAAAGCACACGCTGTGACAGGGAAACACAACGTGAGCTGTCTTACAAAGTTATGATAGCAAAGTCTTCATGATGTCACTGTGTCCTTTTATGCTGTCTAACTCTCCAGGAAACTCTTGAGAGCTTGTACGTATGGGTCCTGAGAGGCGGTGCTGGGATCCTGTAACTCAGGCCGACTAGGCCGTCCCATGGAAAACCTGTGAGGGTTTTGGAAATTGTTCTGCACCTGTGTCCAAGATCTTGACGTTAACAGGTCACACCTACTTCCCTAGCCAGCTTTGGCCATGCTCTAATCTCCTATCTCAAAACCTTCTTTTCCATTTTCATTGTTTGCTACCCAGTGCAAACCCTTATGACTCCAGGTAATAAAGGTATCAGCCTCTCCTTAAAAAGACAGCTCTATACTTAAAGAAACAGTAAACCACCAAGTTATAACCGGCCTGACATAAAAACAACTTGGGATATGACCAGAATTTTAACTTATGACTAAAGTCTTGAGTTTTGATCCGAGTGCCAGCCAGATGGTCTCAGATACAGATTTAACCCTTAAAGAGCTCCGGAAGGAGCATTACAACATTCTTTTCTGTGTGGGGTTGAGAAATCATGGGCCAATGTCTCTCTAAGGACACTGAGATCTGCCTGTATGCAGGAGAGAGACTTTGAAGGCTGTGTCGAGGAGCCTGAGCCTTCAGCTGACCAATTTGAGTTACAGCCATCCAGCATGAATTGAGTTCATAAGTCAAGGGTCAACTGAAGTTAAAGTCTCTGTAAACATTGATAGGTCCCTAATGTGCTAATGTGTAAACACTAGAGCTGCTTTTAAACATTTGTTCAGATTTGACAACTAGGACTGCAGTGTTGACCTCCCGCTCTCTGGCTAAGTGTTGTGAGGTCTCTTCCATTTCCTGAGTGTCACCAGGCTCTTCTGCTGACACGGGGCCCTTTAGTCTGTGAAGAGGGTACTCAAGGGGAAGAGTGTAATTTCAGTGTGTACAGAACTGGATTGTGATTGCCCAGTTAACTGGGTGGTGAGC